GAATCATATAGAAGTGATAGTTATCATAACAAGAGAGAATCGAATGTTAGTGCCAATGCGCTACTAAGCCGGAAGCCAAAACCGGTTCTCAATGTATCGAACTTTCATATGGGAAGCCTGATGTAAGCTGCTGCGTAAGCTTCCAGTCAGTCGTTCCACTGAACGATGCTTTGTTTTAAAAGATCTGGAGTCATGCGACTATTTAAGAAAATGCTCTCATTATTATGCAAGAATCAAATCCCAGGAGAAGCGAATGTTTTACTGCATTTGTTATTTGAACGATTGCAAATTAAATAATTAAATCGTCTTGAGCATGCTGTACCTCATTTGGGGACCTGTCTCAGTCCTGGACTGAGTGTCTGGGTTCGGGACTAAGACAACCGAGTTCTGGACTGAGTGACTAGGTTCCGAACTCAACTCAGACACAACAGGCACAAGATTTATCTATTTACGCGATACATGATCACGTGACGTATAAGTCATTTTCGATAAACTATTGGCGCCAGTTGACGTGTAATCCATAAAGTGGACGTAATCCATGAATAAACAAGTTATTATCTTGTTCCGGACTCAACAAGAAGGTTGCTTTTGTTAGCTAATAAGAGAAATTGTAAGTAATTTCAATTGATATTTCTTCGGGAGATTTGGTACTGCAACATTTTGGCATGCTTTTAAAAAAGAAAGACACTTTTTACAGTCGTATCAATGTCTTTACTTTGGATTCCAGTGCGACATTCCTGATATTAATTTTGTGGCTTGATGTAATCCAAACATGCTTATTGAATTCTGCGCGTCGATTACAGAAAGGTTGACTATCCTTACAGACCATGCTGGTCTTTAACCCATCATTGACTATGAACCAGTGGCTTGTTTTGTTCAAACATCAAAGATGAGATCGATAGTAGGGTCTATGCAGTTCTCACAGATGAAGGTTTGCCAACCCTTGAACAGATTGAGCAATAACAAGCATTATCGACATCAGTACTAAATGTCAGATACTATGTCTCTCCACAACAAGAGAAGAGCCGAGTATGATTGCTATTTAATGTTATTGTCAGGCTATACAGGTAGTCTATATCTATATGGCTAGCTATGCTGGAGGGCAATTTATTGTTACGGTAGAAATTGTGAAGCACAAGCGTGGCTTTTCATTTCTGAACCATCTCATTTCGCTATGTGAAGAATTGAATTTATTGTAATTGTATACAATTAATACAACAATTTTCCTCATTTAACTCAACTTTTGGTTTTACACGGCATTAAATAATACCTGCATTAAAATTGACAAAATAACGACGACTTTTTTATCAACGTATTCATTTGCAATTCAACTTTCATTTTAGGTGGTAACGCTGTTCTAAGAAATAAAGTATCGCAGTGGCGCCAATGAAAAAAGATCGAAAAAGATACCATAACAATTCAATAAACATAAAAAATCGTCAATTTTGCTATGAAAACGCAAACGACCTAGCCTGTCTTTACATTCTCTTCTTGGATAGGAATAGTTTTATTACGCTGAATATTTCTGATTAGCTTGAAACGCGCTAATTTAATCACAGAACTTAACCAACATCATTTGATAATCAAGATCTGTGAGTTCTGGTAATCAACTCCTCCTAGAGCTATAGCAGTGCCAATTATAATCGAAATGGTAACTGGGTAGATACAGCCCCTATCAGGATAGAACAATCGTTCTTCAGAGATTTATACGGAAGTCGGAGGGTAAGATATTGCACGCGGTTTTGGGGGATGGCCGGATCGCTACTAGTTTGGTGTATGTATGTATAGAATAACTCATTTGCTCCGACCAATAAAAGGCCAGTAATGTATATTTGCGGTTTTTGTACCGCACTTTCAATCGCGTGGCCGGGTCAAATCAAATTGATAGTGGCCTCGTTCCGGGGATTGCGGCGAATTCCAGAAACTCCATCTTATAAGGCAGACGTCAAACGCGATTTCGTTGCAGCCAACGAAATCATTGAGTTGTGAAGTCGGAAAATCCACAACATTAAGCTGTTACAAACAATATTTTTGCCACCCGACTCCTAACCCCATAATAACGTGATCGATTTTTCGCATATTGGTACTACGATAAGAGAAAGAAATCGGGAAGAAAGCGTCAGCATGAATCGGCTGAAAACAGACCCGAAGATCTCTCTTCAGGTTGTGCGACTGAACATCCACTTTATCAATGAAGGTGATTAATGTAGAGCATCGGGCCTCTTGTTCTTCCGAAGAAGTAAGCGGCCTAATATTTCTTCCATATTCAATCACGTGCCCGGAACACATAAGCAATTGATTACGCTATGAAACCTATCCAGTAAGAAGCGGGTGTGCTGAATAATTATGAGAAATCATTCATACTTTAGTTAACAATATTATAAAAACTATTAATGGTAATATTTGCGAGAAAAGGTAAAGGTATAATTTATAATAAAACACTAGAGTACCTCGTCAAAGAGATTGGCGTAAACGCTTCCGGACATCTCGCGTAAAAGGTTATCGAAAAAAAGGTAGGCTAGATAAATAATTACCTGAAATTTCCCCTTGGTTTACTGGCTCCTTACTTATGACAAATCCAAAAGATAATAAAGAACACCTTCCCCTTTTTTTCTCAAACAATGTGTTTATTATACAAGGTTGAACAACTCTGCGAAAAATACTGTAAACGTGCTTTAGTCGATTAATGGATCGGCTCCACAGACTTTTACTCGTGGACTAGGCAACCGAAGCAACGCTGTCACGGTCTAGAATATACAACGCGCGCAGTATGGATTAATGTTAATTTTGTTCCATATCACATGCCTCCTTGTTGAACAATTAAAAAATAAAGGAATTCTTTTCTTCTTTGTCGTGGACAAGTAATTAATTTGATGTAATATTAAATATTATCAACACATTTTTGTGCAAGTGCAAAGTGACTTGCGTTTGACGCTTGGCTATTACTAGAATTAAGATGGATTCATGTGACCTCCGCCATATTCTTTATTCCTTTAAACGGTTGGTATTTTCTTGCGGTAGAATATTCTATCTATCCAGTATGAATGCTTGACACCTTTTTTAACTATTTGTCATAACATACGCTAACGCCCAGCCCATTCTTGGCGCATTTTGCTTTAACGGTCAGAATTGGTTGCTTGCTTAACGTTTCACCTAAATATCTCATTAATTGGTATTACGTTACTCGGTGTAAAGAATTTTCTAAATATAAGTATTTCCGTTTTATATTTTAGGTCTGCGCACATTAAATAGGGATTGTCATTGTGCAGCTTTTAGTAAAGTCTGCATGCAGAATGGCCGACGTTGTAGGGAATACAATAGCTAGGCAATTACATTCTTGTGATATGCAATAACTAATATAACGGATTTAATTGAACTGTCACACTCGATGCTTTTATTATACTTGTACTTATTTAGTATGAAGAACCATTAGATCTGATATCCACTTGTATTACTGTTTTAACTATTATGTCAGACTTCAACTGTATTTACAAATGTCTTGACGATTGCAATATTTGTCGCACATCCCATATCTTTTAACTATCATGTCAGACTTTAACTGTATTTACAAATGTCTTGACGATTGCAATATTTGTCGCACATTCCGTATCTTAGATACAGAAATATCAACAAGTTAATTCTTACTGCGTTATTTCACGATTGTCAGATTAGTAACAAAAGTAAAACTTGTGATGCTTGAAATTGACTTTACTTCCTTTGTTGTGATGAACCATACTAATGATCAGATGGTCAACATCGTTCGCCCGTCATTTGATAACCACTTCTGGCATGATCCTCTTTACTGCAGGCCATGTCATGAGTTCTGGTAACTTTCTCCCCCTTAGAACTGCCAACAGTCTTCTACAGCCGATTATAAAAATATCGAGGCCGCTAAGATATCTCATTGTGTGGGTATGCTCATCGGAATGATTGGAGATTTGTACTTTGCGAGCAACGAAAGATCTAATAATTCAAAAAACGGTATTTGTTAAAGCAGCAAAATGGTATAAAGAGTGAACACAAAAAGATTGCATAAGAAAAGAAACACGAGATAATATACGGAATCAATCTTCTGGATGGACGTATGAATGATGGATAGAATTGGACGATAAAAAAGTCAAATGAGGATTACTTTATTACTTTGCATCTTTAATGACTGCGCAAGATTCTTTTATAAAAACCAATTATGTACCTCATTACGCGCGTGCTTAACACTATGCGTAATTGTATCGACGACATATTAATTAGCGTATCACCGTTTGGTACTTATTTTATATAATTAGAGCCTGCCTATATAAGATTCCTATAGTTAACCATATATATGCGTTTTATAATCAATTTTCGATAGACGTGTCTCGACACGATACTCACAATCCTGTCTTCCACGTCGATGTCCATGGTAATGATACGAGAGACTCACTTCATTGGACTTGATAAGACACATCAAACGAAATTAGTCATCAACCAATTTTCTTTCCAATTACTCGTGCTTTCATACCACTAATTAAACGATCCTACAATTAAACTGCATGTAGCTGACGCGGTTCTCTTCATGATTAGTTTGGCCTTCTCTCGCTAGCTTTTAGAAAAAGAAAAGACATTAATAGATCTAATAATGTTCAATCCGAACAGTGACATATCAACCAGGGTTATAGTTTTCTGCATTTATTAATATTGTGTAAAACGGTGAGGTAGAACACGTAAAAAAACATAATTCATAAGTTTTATACAAGGAGGAAACAAGTGCTATAAACACTCTATAAAACGTTAATGGAAGCCTTTCGGATTTGGGAAAATGCTTAGAAATTAACTCACTTCTTTTATACCAATGTATGGTATACCATATATAACAAACAAAGTTAATCAGCGGCATCGAACAGGCTAGAGTAACAAGTATATTGCATTTTCTAAATAGCGTGCCTACAAAATGCAATATATCTTCTTTTCTAGCATGTTCGAAAACCTGATCATCTGAATTCGTTGCTTTGATATAATTATGCTTAAATGACCATTGTTCGAAGAGTGTCACGAAATAACTCGACGTTTTGTTGATTCTCCTTTAGTCTGAAAGCATTAGCATTATCCATATCCGAACCAGAAATGGCTTGTATATGCGTGAGAAGCAGACTACTCCATCGTTTGAATACGTCTTCAGCAATAAAAAGCTTATAGTCAATCAATCTCAAGAATATAACCTCATTTTCGTTTATCTCTGCAAGTGGTAATCCGGAAATTTTGGACCAGGCTCGGTTCGAATAGTTCGAATCCTGCAAATACTTGGATGCAATGATCAAAGCCGCTAGGAACATTCGGCGACCACACGTAGCCGGATCCGTATTGTGACCACCATCCTCAGATCCTTTGTCACACGGAGTGGGAGGCCCACGAGGTTTAAGCGCACGTTGCTCAATCTGTGGCTTAATCCTGAATAGATAGAACAATGCGGTCTGTAAAGTGGAATATGAAGTACGCGATCGGCGAAGTGTTTGTTGCAAAAATACCCGCATGGGAATTAGCCTCGCTCGTGGATTCACCGTAAACTTGCTCCAAACCACATCAATGATCAGAGCTGCCGTATCTGTATAAACGATCCATTAGCCGTAGTCGTCTCTCGGGGCAAGATATTATTGGCATTTTATCGCCCATATACCTTTTTAAATGCTTGAATATGATTATCGGAATAACTTACCGACAAGGTTTTCGACAAAAGCAGCCTTTCGATTCTTTTCACTAATTAACGATGGTATCATACGAAGGATAGAGTAATCTGAACTTTCACTATTTTTCACAGCATACACAGGGGCAGATTCGTTGACATTACTGTCAACGACCAACGAGCTTGATCTTGGAATAGCCATGGGTCTGAAAGGTCCATTCTTATGAATTGAGTCTTTGGATGATGTCCTCGAACAATCACTTACGTATTCTTGTTCACTTTCTAGTAATAATGGCTCAACATATCCCAACCCACTGTCATGACGGGGCCGTTTGCGATGCAATATATAAACTGGTTCATGCTTCGCGGAAACAACCTGCGTTCCCTCACTTCCGATTCCCTCGTTGACGGATGAACAGGTCAACGATGACGAAGAGCTAAACGCATCAAACTCTCTGCTAGAGGAAGTGTTCTGTCTGGAAATAGGCGATGGCGGCTGATATCCTCTCGCCTGTTCTATTTGCAATGGTGAAAATTGAACTGGCGACTGAAAGAAAGGTTGCGAAGTAACAGAATACGTGGGAAGTGTTGTGATTGGTTGGTTTGATATTGACGACCTTGTATTTCCTTCCGAATCATGAATTAGGAGATCTGTCAAGAAAAGATAGAGTGACTATAGTAAATGTGCTCCTTGAGTCGTTACTACTTTGGTGCTTCCATTGTGATTTATTTTTGTATCATTGTTTGTTTGTATAATTTTTTTTAAAACCGCGTTATATCTATATCACGTACCCGTTTTTTTATGACATTGTCCGTTCATCTCTCTTAACCGTCGCCGCTTTGATGGACAATCTGATGGACAATCATCGGAAGTAACGCTAAATGCACCACAATCTACCACGGGTTTAAAAGGGACACTCATAACTGCACTGTCGCTTTCCATATTGACATCAGTTTCGGATATATAGTTGTTTGTATTAATATAGTCGCTATCAGTATTAGGTGAATATGACCCTCTATTACTATCAACTGGCGAGGGTTGACTAAAAGTGGAATTTGGCTTGGACAACAGGGTTTTTTGCCATGTGCCACCACAAGAGGCAGCACAGGCTGCTTGGACGTGTTGTGATGATTCATTTTGATAGTGTGCTGATTCTACTTTTATCATTTTAAATAGCCTGACAGAGAGTTCGCCTCTCCAGTGTGAGTTGATGGTAACGAGAGAGAATCGAGTTAAAGTGGGGTAGCAGTGTCTATCGGTTTACTTTCACAGTGTGGAAATTGTGAACACAGTTACTATGTTATTTTGCTCCGCTAACCAAGTTTCAACAGGACGGTGTTATAGATAACATTTTTCCAAAGTAAGTCTTGGGGGGATGAAGTAGACTGCGTAGCATATATATTGTGTGCTGCGTACTGCGCATACATGTTAGACGATTCCCGTGAATGGTGACACATTATCTTAGTTTGTCTAGGAGATGTAATTGTTATCGTGTCAGCAGACATGCGCAGTCATCTGTACAACAAGTCCGTATTTGATTATATATTAGTCTTTTTACTGTTCCCAATCAATTAGAAATTTCTGTTGGCCGGTTTGGAAGGATCTGCAAGGCAGAAAAACGGCGTGCTTTCACTCATATTTTTGGTATCTAAAAGAGTGGGGTGACATTTTGAAGGCGGCGAGATATCTATCCAGCCGATATGTAACCCTGGGAGTAACACCCAATGTGTAGTGAAAATTTGGAAGCGGGTTTGGGGGATACATACGGCATAGCTCCTTTACTGGGCACAGTTTCGGCCGCCGCAGACGCAGATGATATTCGATTATGTGTTACATTACACAATAACACAAAATGCTGCGGGTTAATTTGAGTCGTTGTCCGACATACAATAGTCGACACATAAATTACTCCGTACTCCGACAATATATTTGAATACCACCCAGCCAAGACAATCAATCCAATGTATTCGGCTTTTCCTTTTTTTGAGGCTGAGTTCAAGGACAAAGTGTAAAAAAACTCACTGTCGGTTTTTTTTGTTCCCTACAATTTAGCATTGTTCCCCGCTTCGTTCACACGGAGTTTGAATCTTTCTGCCCATGTTGAATGGGGCTATTCACATAATGCCATTGCCATACATCGTACGCCAAAGAGAACACAAGGGAGTGAATTTATTTCGGAAGGTACCGTCACTCAACAAAGCATAAATTCCGGTGCTGTTGTTTCAGAATAAACGCCGTGATGATAAAAGTTAAGGGAATGGAATGTGTTAGTTTTTAATAGACAGTTTGTCACACGGAAACATCCGCAGCGCTGCGTCTCAAGCCAGTTATTTAACGTGATCTTGCCTTATGCGGAACTTATCGTAATATCATGCATGGGTTGCATGAAAACATTGATATTAGAGGAAGGAGAAAAAAAAATGGGTCAAGGGATTTCTCATCAGTGGAAGGACAATAGTGGCACATTCATAATATGTCGAAAAGGAAATAAGGCTACTAAAAAGACATATTGGAAAAAGCAAGACTGTATTGCTTGGATAACCAGCCGCTTTAATAAATTCATTGTGTTATTTCTGTATGTTGTATGTATGTATGTATGTACATATGTATGTATGTAATATAATGCTCTATTGACCGTTTTGATTATTGTTGCTACCATTTACCATTTGCATATGCATAATAGTGATAGCTCTTTCCGATTTTGCCGAATGCAATGAGAATCCTTCAAACCCTTAACTTTCATTACCATTGCCTATTTCTTCCATCTGTCTTGTAATCTTATTCTTTTATGTTTATCTGACTTGTGCTTCCGTCGCTTATTAGTCCAAGTCCTGCAAATCGATTAAAAGATTGTGTTCTTTAGTCGAGCTTACTACATTAGGTCAACTGACTGGGCGAAGCACTCGAGGAAGACATAGGCGATAGATATGAAAACAACAATATCATCGATGACATTGTTGCCACAAAGTCGCTGATTAAGGGGGTCGAACGATGTCTAAATCTAACAACAATGGTCTCTACATCGTTGATCTCCTCGTCCCAAGGTGATGGCCGACATCAAATTTCCAGTCCGAAGACCGAGTACTAAAAATCGCCGATAGTTAAGATCAATCGACTTTTTGTATCTTATTTCAGATTATCAAATGCAACAGCATTCAATACGTTTTTGGGCGATCTAATCAATCAAGAGTAAGAAGAGCTCATTGTTACCGGATTTATATAAATTGTATTTTGAGAACGTTGTTCATGAAACGAGTCCTTTGTAAGTGAATGGCCATCATCTTTTAGTAAAAACGGTGTATAATTATAATTGGAACATCTGTCATCATTTCTTGATTCGGCAATGTTTGACTTGTTGCAACCCTATTATGGTTGTCACTGTATCGCGTCGCTCTGCCTGATTAGGGTCTTCCACTGAAAAGACATTTTGCTTAGTCTACATTCTGGAACTCTTTCAGAGACTCCACAACTTGTCACTCCTTGAAACAAAGCATCTTGTAGCACATGGGACTTTAATCGTGAATGAAAAGCCATTCAGAATGGCATATTGACATTCAATTCAATTCAAAAAAAAAAAAAAAAAAAAAAAAAAAAAAAAAAATAGTGGTGAGGAAGAACCATTACCCGATAAAGAATACTTAGCGGAACTGGCAGAAGATCACATCGATTGGATGGCAAGGAAATGATTCTTCTTAATATTGTCGAAAGAAATTCCATTGTCACTACAAGTGTTTGTGGTCGGTCACTTACGTCGAGTGAAACCTGTTCAGTGCCTATGTCTGCCACTATTAACAGAACAAAGCTGCTGGTTTGTTTGACTGACTATTTATTGTTAACGATAAATCTTAACAATTATCGCTCCTTCTTTTGATATCAAAGCTGACATAAGCAGTATTGAAACTCATCGCTGAAGTTTTAGTCAACCCTTCTCTTACCAATCACCCAAAAATGCTTCGTGTACCACCACTGTTATCATCTTTGGGTAACAGTGGTGAAAGTCGACTCTACCAAATAAATATGTCTGCTACTCGTTCAAACTGTCTGCATAGTTTGCCGTCAATATTAATATAGAACTAATCGATGGCATTCAAGTACGACGAAATATTCGTCCACTGTGACTCATCTCTTCTTCTTTTTTTTCTGTCGCGATGGATAATTTTCCAAAGTGAACTGCCTCAATGCTGACAAATACTGTAGATACTATCACATACCAAGCATCGACAAAGTCGACGATTGCTGTGGCAAGTGTGTTTATAAAGTGTCTGGTGACGAAAGTTAGGTACGCTCAAAGGATTTGTTTGATTCTGAAATCGCTCGCAATCTTTCGTTAATAGCATTCGTATATGACACCATGATCACGATCACTCACGTTTATTGCGGCGTGTATAGGGACCAATGGACTGAAAAGAGAACGCGAACCTTTTAACGAACGGACAGACAGAATTTTACGAGTATAGAAAACGAAAGGCGAAACGATTCAACTCCACATAGAAAAAGATTCTTGATCATGTCGCTGAAAATCTATAGAGTATACGAATCTTCCGAAAATACCGGCCATTAAACGAGCTCTGTATCATCCTGATGCTAATTGGCTGTCATTATATGCCTGTCTTACTCAATCGGTTGTATATAATAGCCATTCTAACAACGAATGGCTTGTATACTTTGAACTTTCAACCAACCCGTGTGGACGATCATGATGTGGATGGAGCCAAGTAACATCTGTGTGATTGGGTATTAATTTACGCATTACCAAATATTTATTAAGACTCGCCGGTCAATATAACGCCCGCTGTGGCCTAGTCGGGCATTAACCTGTTAGAGTGGGAATTTTAATTAGACGCCCAGCCTCAAAAGCACCAATCGGGATCAGATGATTGAAGATCTTGTAGAATATTGAACTCATTTCATTGATATTATTAAAGACCTCTCGGAAGCGCAATTCTAAAACGACCGAAGTCCATTCCCTCGCCGTATTGCACGGACGTCAATTTACCCATTTAACGTGATGTAGTAAATTTTGGTTGCTTTTTAACCATTAGCATTGGGGGATCTACAGCAGTAATAGGTGGTCACATGACAACTTTGTACTGCTACCGTTTACCAGATTTAGGTGGTATCTCTCATTTTCTTATTTGTTGAGAATGGATCCGTCCGTTCGGGCTGGAAATTAGGTGCCATATATGGAAATCAACGCTGCTACTGGTCACTACAAATGGGACGTGTGCAGATAAGGCGAACATTTGATATCATATGTAATTTAGGTTGGGTTCTCTCCCTAATTACAGTGTTTGGAAAACATGGTTTGCATTCGTCTGATTAATAAATTGAAACGTCTGTTTACAAATACAGTTATGCATACAATATACGTCTGTTTACCATTCGTCGATTTGATTTTCTTGGTTTGTTTTTTTCTCTGCATACAATTGAGCATAAACTCAAATAATGCGACTCTAGCGTTGCAAGAATTTTATTCCAAAAAAAGTAATTGAAGTAGAATCACGTTCAAGCAGACTACTCACCCCATCCGGCAGATCTTAATAAAAAACATGTAGTAAATAATGTTGCCAAGAATATTAATATAGGTGAATTGAAATTTAAGAGTAAAGAACGACCAAAGGGAAAAATATCGACTTGTTTATGAAAGTTGTGAACTAGTTTGGGTAGAATTGTCATAGAATTAGATATTGACAATTTTTATTTAATCAAGCAACTTTCAACTTTAGCTAGTTTGCACGAGGTAATGATAATAGTAATATTGTAAATTGTTCCGTAATAGTGATCACATGACTTTCTATTGATTTTTTTTGCAATAATAGAAAATACGTATATGTATATAAATTTTTTCAAACAACCTTTGCTTGTTTCCTCAAATAAAATTGACGTTATACCCTCAAGATAATGTATTTGTAAATAAAACAAATTATCCTGGCATTGACATTTTATTGATAATTCTAATAAAAAAATAAATTTACTAACCAAAAATCTCGTGCCTTCCGATTATAAAACTAACTGTACTTGACGTACAGTTTGTAACAAAAGGTTTTATTTCTTTATTACTCAAAAACTACTGCATAAAACTTAACAAAATAAAGCCCATAATCTAAACATAAAATTAATAATTTATTCTTTAACCATTGTTTTCTATTATCATCTCATACCTCCTT